CCTTATGTTTTTAGATTAATTTTTGGTATTATTTTTATATTTAAATGATGTAGGACCCAAATTTATTTTATCCCACACCCTGTACTTATATCTGTCACAGAATTAGGCGTGTGTTTGTGCGACAATGCCTATATATATTTTTTTCTTAAAAAAAAAGAAAAGAGAAAGCTACTTTAGAGTTTGTGTAATAGTTATATAGTCCGACCAAAAGTGAAATCCTACATATCACTGGAGCATAATCCTAATATTACTAGACTAAAACCTAGTATTATGATGTCATGTTTTGCAATTTTTTTCCTTACTTAAATGTTGTCTCATAGAGTTAGAAGGTGCTCTATCAAGGCATTTTTATCTACTTTGGTTTATGGATTAAGAATTGTGATTTAAAACTATTCTCAATTTATGTGTGTTTTTTATGAAAAAAATACTGTAACGAATCACGAACCATAATTAAAATTATGGTATGAATCTACCAACTAAACGCAAGAAATTAAAGATGTGTCTTATAGCAATACCACAAGAGAGTGGTAGTCTGGTAGACGACTGATCCTCCTAATTAACATGGATGTGATTGAGAAAATCTTGAGATAGATAAAAGAAGCTAAAAATTAATATTCAGAATATTACTGGTACTAAAGATCATTATTAATGTAAAATAGATTATGGCGCCCCGTTCATTTAACCGATTCGAGTTTTATTACAATAAAAAGTTCTCAGAAATAATCACATCTAATTTTTTTACTACAGTAAAAAACTCTCACAGAAAATCACATATCAACTCGAATTACAAACTTAAATCAGCAAACTAAAGAAACCATATATATATATATATTTAAATTATATGTTGTGAGGCCATCACTCTGTATCATCGATGTCTAGTAACATTAGTGGAAGAAATCGCATAAAGGAGAAAGTAAATAGAAAAACTTTATCTGAGTCCCTTCTGGTATATATCTACGCCTATATACCCTTTTTGAAGCCCTGCATAGATACCATGTTCATTGGTATGAGGTGAAGACTAGGACCTGAAAATATCAGAATCCTCCAAACGAATCACTGAACAAATATATCTTTTGTGACACACATAAAATCATGTGCAGATATGAAGACAGGAGAATCAGGATAATTGCTAGCTTCCATGGATGTCCAATCTACACTCGTGGAGTTGAAATTACCTTTAGTTTTATGGGGTCAGTTTTAAGTCTTTGGAAAATAATATTATTATTTTTCATGGCTATTATTGGTTTCTTCAATCTTAGAACCTAGAAGAATAAAGCATGAAAACTTAAAAAGGGCCTGTTTGGTTCAACAACTCAAACCGTAGAGATTTAAACTTTTTTTATTAGAATAATATAATTTAAACTGTGGTGATGTAAACTGTAATCCGAATTGTTATTTAGATATGTAAATAAATTGTAATTTAAATTGAGAATAAAATCCGAACTGTGTTTGGATAAATTGTTGAAAACTGTCATTAGAGTTTTGTAACAAATCTTATAAAACTTCATCATAAATGACATTAAAAAATAGCAATATAGGTGGGGATTTGTTCCTCTCTTCATTATGAACACATTAAAAAAAACCATCTCAATCTGAATTAAAACGAAGAAGTTATGACATTTTTAAGATTGAAATTAAAGAGAGAGAAAAAGTAGAATCTGAAACTATTGAACTGTTGACAACAAGTCAGATTGTTAGAATTTAGGGGGGAGATGAATTTTAAAATCAACAATTTGAGTTGTCCTTAAATCATTGTTAATGGTTTGAGTTGTCCTTGAATTTTTCTCTCCCAAATACCAGTTTAAATCCTGAACTAAGGTTTGAATCATAAATAACAGTTTGAGTTGTTGAAACAAACATGGGCTAAGAAAGGTGAGTTTGAAGTTCAGGATTCAAGGTTCTCATTATTTTTTTTTTTTTAAGAAATACTAGTATTATTTTTTTATCACTTTATACATTTATTATTTAACAAATAAATTCTATTATCTAATGTTTTATTTAAATAATAATATAAATGAGATAATAAAATTCACGCGTTAAACAATAAATGCGGTGACGCTGAAGTTCACGTGCAAAAAGTAATAAAAAGCAGAGGCGATTCAAGGATAAGGCCATTAAGGCCATTGCCTTAGGGCCCCTAAAGAGCTAAGGCACCATCCCGTTGATTCTTTCTTTTTTTTGAAATTCTTTTTAGAAATGAATCTTACTATGTATATTTTCTAGTATATTCAAGTGAATCTTCTAAAACTTAATCGTGTTTTGGGGAAATAAAAGATTGTAATCAAGATATAGCATAATCTCAAAAACTAGTAATTGCTACTAATATTTTATTATTATTACCATTTAATTTTCTTCATTTGAAATATTAATATTTCTTATTTTCCTCTAAACACTCAGATTTCTTCTCCTCTCAAAAGGAAAAGAACTTCCAACCAACTTTTTCATTCTTGATTTCCCATTCCTTCCATCTCAACACTCAATCGACTGCTATTAAAAAAATCATTCCAACAAAATAATTGAAGATTTTTAGTTCAATATTTGAATATTTTGTACTAGTTTTATTATTCTTAATTGCGTCTTTAAGATTCATACCATATTTTTATCTATTATTTTATTTGGGTAGAAGTTTTGTTATTTGTCTAACATAAATTATGAATATAATAATCTGGATACAAGGAGTTTAAGAAAAGAAACTTTAAGAACATAAAATTTTATTGAATCCTAAAGAAGGAGTCTTGATTAGTTTCTAACTAGCAATAAAAAAGATCCAATTAAAAGTCAAAGTTTAATAGTTGAAACATAATTAGGAGTATGATGATTGTAAAAAATATATATATATATTAATAAAATTAATTAATTACGATTGTACTTAAAATCCATAATGTAACAGAAATTATTAAATTGATTAGTCAAATGATCTACTAAATTCAAAATATACATTAACAACTCTTGAATCTAAAACCTTAATCATAATTTTACAGTTTAGAAATCAAAAGAATATATTTTAAATATAAAAATGCATATAATCTTTTAAAAGGCCTCTTTATATAATTTCGCTTAAGGCCTCGAGTCATCTTGAACCGGTCCTGCAAAAAGAATAATATTATCATTTTTCTTTTTATTTTTGTCATTCTAGAGGAAAATGATATAACTGAAGACGATTTTTTCATTTAAAAAAAAATTTGGAGAGGACTTAATAAAATTAGGTTCAAGAACTTGTACAACTATACATGTTATAATTAGATTAAATAATCACTAGTGAGTATCGCCGGCAGAGATATGTGTGAGTTATTTTTTGGGCTTGGGCCCCGTTCACTTCGCTGATTCGAGTTTAGAATTTGAGTTTTTCTACAGTAAAAAGCTCTCACAAACAATCACATCTAACTTTTTTGCTACAGTAAAAAGCTCTCACATAAAATCACATCTCAACTCGAATTCTAAACTCGAATCAGCGAAGTGAACGGTTTTTGAGTTAGGTAATTTGAGTGTAGATTTTGAGTTGAGTTTGAGTTATAACTTGAGTTGAAGTTGTAACTTGAGTTTGTGTTTGGTTGTGTACATTTGAGTTATGGTTTGAGATAAGAATCTTTTTTGAGTTTGTGTTTGAGTAAGTCAAAACTTGAATTTATTTTTAGATAGTATTTTAATAAAAACTCAATGCTAATGAAAAATTTTAATAGGGTATATGGGTCTTGTTTTATTCGTCTTTTCGTTGTCAACGCATAGAAAAAAAAATAATCTCAATCAAAATTAAAACGAAAAAGTTATAGCATTTTTAAGAATAGAAAAAATAATGTTCATTAACTTGAGTTCGAGTTTCTAAACTCGAGTTGAAGGAGAAATTTGAACTCAAATTTTAGTTCCAAACTCGAGTTCAAACTCAAGTTCAAACTTAAAAGAACATGAATTCGAATAAAATTATAACTCAAGTTACATTTTTTTGAGTTTTTAACTCAAAAATCACCTTGCCAACAAGGCCTTTGTCTTAGGAACTTAATAAAGTCATAGTTATGAATAGTAGGGTTAATTTTTCTAGAGTAGTAGGTAAATGGTTACTGATTAATTTATTAGTCATTATACCTGCACCAATGGATGTTATGTTAACTCTGATGCAGATTGAAAACGACACTAATTTCCCTAATAATTAGCTGTTGCTCTTTCTGGATCTCACCTATATTTAAAAGAGTCGAGAGAGAGACACAGAAAACCAAGCCCGTGTTTAGAGTTGTTTTTGTTTTTATTTTTCACATTTTTTGAAAAAGAAAAAATAAAAATGAAAGAGAAATGATGTTTAACACAATTAAAAATAAAAAACAGAAATAAAAATAATTTTTTAATTTAGTGTAAAATATGAGAGAAATAAAAAATGACTTTTAGTCGTTTTTCATTTTTTATTTCTGTTTTCTCCTCTCTCGAGCACAGAGAGAGACATTAATGGATTTTTATGTCTGAGATTGAAAATATTTTCATTTCTATTTTCATACAAATAACAAAATCATTTTGAAATGAGTTTCAAATGCACCCTAAAATTTTAGAAAACGAGGTTCATTTTTTAATTATATATCCCATCTCCGGCTACTTCATTTTGGTGCCATAGAAATTCCATGATAGAAATACCCTTCAAATGGAGTCTTTTTTTATTATCATCTCTTAACATTAATTTATATATTTCTACTTTTTAAATTAAAATTAATTAATGGGTATAATTTTTTTTAAAATGATATTTTTAATAAGTCAAGTAATTAAAAACGTTGAATCCGTAATTTTCTCTTTTTCAATTTCACCACTCATTTTTCTTTTAATCTCATTCAACGTCCTAAGAAAGTTGCCCTTTTTCCATTTCTGCCCCCTCAAAGATTCCACAACATCCTAAACCATCCTTTGCAATTGTTCCAACACCTGGTCTTTATTTTTCTTTTCTTTAATTCCTGTCCGCATCAAACCGCCTTTCCACTTCGTTATTATTTTTTTTTCCCCTACTTCTCCAAGCTTAAAAAGCTCCAATCTTCCCACTCCAAAACTTGTGAGAGAGAAGGAAAGAACAAAGAAGGAGAAAACAACTTTCTCTCTCACAGAAACACAAAAACACACTTCCTTCAATTTCATATTTCTCTCCCTCTCTCCCCAAAAAAAAAAAAAAAAAAAACCCAATAATATTTTCCATGTCTTCAAAAGGAAATTACCAAGCTACTAGTAATACTAGCCCAATTGGTAGCCCTTTGCAAGGGAACAATATTTGTGATATAAACTCTTCCAAAGAGCAAGATAGGCTTCTCCCAATAGCAAATGTTAGCAGAATCATGAAGAAATCTCTCCCTTCAAATGCCAAGATCTCAAAGGAAGCAAAAGAGACTGTCCAAGAATGTGTTTCTGAGTTCATAAGCTTCATCACCGGGGAAGCCTCAGACAAGTGCCAAAGAGAGAAGAGGAAGACAGTTAACGGTGATGATCTCTTGTGGGCCATGACAACTCTTGGGTTTGAGAACTATGTGGGACCCTTGAAGGTTTACCTCAACAAGTATAGAGAAGTTGAGGGAGAGAAGAACTTCATGTCTAGGCAAGAGGACCACCACTCTCCTACCACCAACACCACCACTAGCTCTAATCATGGGCCCCACCATCATGATCATGATTATCATCAGATGGTCAATATTAACAATAATAATAAGGGCTCTAATTCTGTACCCCTAATTAACAAGGTGGATTTTCAGGATTTCAATAGTGGTGGGTTTCACTCTCTTGGTGGTCAAATGAATGTCCCAAAGAGCTATGAAGAAGTCAGTAATGGAATGGTTTTTGGGTATGGATCAGATAACTATGTAAGTGGTATTTCTAATTATAATGTGAATGTCACTCATGAGAGTGGTGGAGATGGAAATGCAAACAGAGTTATGGCTGCTCATCTTCATCATGGAATTGGATGGTAGAGTTTTTGAAGACATATATATATATATATATGTAGTTCTGATAATATCATATATAAGTTTGATTTCATATCTTTGTTTGAATTGATCTCCATTGACTTATTATTATTATGTAAGAATATAACAGTTTGATCTAATGGGTATTTTTGAAGTATTTTGTCATGAGCAGAAAGATTTGTTGAATTTCCAAGAAATCCCCATGTTTTTTTTAGTATTTTCTATATGTAGCTGATCTTATTCACTTATTGGAAAATTATACATAGATTATAGATTTATACATAGTGTATGAAAGCAATATATGTATTTGTTTTAGTACAGTTTGTTGTCATGAATTTCTTATTAAGGAGACATTTCTTACAGTTGCTTCTGGAACCACAAAATAGTTATTTGTAACTTTGTCCGAAAACATTATGTAACTTAAATTAAAAAAAAAAATGTAAAATTCTGGTTGTGAGATATTTTCTCTCTTTCTTTTTTTCATTATGTTCCCCGTTTGGAGTGGAAGGTAGGAAACAGAGCTAAAGGCCTGCTGGCCGTCTCTTTTGGTTAAAATTTGGACCAACATTATATTATATAAGGGTAAGTCAACCCAATTGAGATAGGCATGTCTAGTTCTTATGTTTATTTGTTAATTACAAATTACAAATTTTTTTATTTTTTATTTTATTTTATTTTTATGTAGAGTTTCATTGCCGTTTTAGTTGACCTTTGAACCATTTTTCTTATTCTTTTTTTTTTTTTTCTTTTTTCCTTAGATTTTACTTCGAATCAGTCTCATTTTAATAAATAGGGTAAATTGCTGGAAGTTAAATTCCTACGTTGCTAAATTATTGGGTACATGAATTGAACACATTCTCCCTCATTCACAAAATAAAAAGATTAATTTTATAAATACTCCCTAAATTTTATATCTTGTTAAGGTCATTTCACTCCGTAACATATGTATCCCAGTTCAAAATACCCTCTATATTTAAAAAATTAATAAGTTGATGATATGATACTATTTATGTTTATATAAATCTCCTTAAATTATTGATTTTAAGTCAACTTGTCTCCTGAATTATTACTTTTGTGTCAACTTATCCCCTAACTTTTTAAAAGATCGAGGAGTAACTTAACATAAAATCAATAGTTTGGGGGTATTTATGAAAAATATTAGTTTAAGGGGTATTTTAAACCACTTTTTATATTTTAAAAGGTGAAATGAATCATTTTTAAAATTTAAAAACATATTGAAATAAGGTACAAAGTTTAGGAGACATTTATAAAATTAATCCCAAAACAACTAACATATTCTCCTTTTTTTTAGCTAATTTTTGAAGATGAATTCTACCCAAACTTATCATCAATATCGGCTCAGATAGGTACATGGGCAATGTTTACTTTATAAAATAATTCAGGGTTCTATACTCTTTCTTGAGGAAAAAAAAAAAAAAACACTAGCTAGATTCAAATCTTTAGCCTAGTTGAGACTGGAGTTTGCTTTCCAAGTATTACTCATAATATTGTAGTTTTATGCACAAAACTTATACATGGGCTTAGCCATCTGTAAGGTATCAACTTATATGTCATTTTCTTTCTACTTGTGAATTTTAAAAGGCAAGAACACATAAAATTGATGAGCATAACCGACTTACTATCATAATCTGAGAGCACAAAAATAGAGGTCCCCAATCGTCGAAACAGGTTTAACACAGATTGACTAGACCTATTTAGAAATACAAATATCTTTAACCCAACAATAGAGAAAATTCTTACAATAAGTAGCACACAAACAAGATTCGTCTACATAAATCGACTTAATATGAAACACATCTTAATCCCAAAGTAACTTAAAACCACGGAACACAAACAAAGAGCGATCAGAAAACTACCCTTTAAATTAAGAGAACGTTTATTTTCTATATTCGTTCTTAATTTTAAATTATGATTCATGATTCTCTACAATATTTTCTCTCACAAAAAATACACGTAAAATGAGAATGATTTTAAATCATGACTCTGAATACATAAACCAAACGTCATCTAAATAAAACGTCAATTGATGGAGAAACCATCACCGTTATTACAAGACTAACATAAACAAAAAAAATCATAAAAATGTAACAAAGTTCTACGACTAACACTGACGAAACGTAGGCGGAGAAAGTTCGAACAAAGAGAGCAAGCAACTAGAAAAAGACGGAGACACATGGAGTTGCCACGCCACCCCACGCGCCGATAAGCCACTGTTGCCTGAGTCCTATGTGCCACTAGCAACGGACGGTCAGCCGACGAACACGCCAGAGATCTTTGAGCACACCTTTCTTCCCTGAGTTTGTCCCTGGAATTGCAGAGCTAACGACCGGCCAACACCTCTGAAAGATTGTGTACAACCGCTGAGAACCCTTTCCTTCATAGTCTAAATCTATTAGAGAGGGAGACAGAACAAAGGTTTAGAGAGGAAAGTGTTTAAACACCCATTATATGTCGTCAAAGTATCATTTTTATCCCTTTTTATACAAATGCTTAAAACGTCTCATATGTTTGTAAAATCAATCATAAAATATCACTTGCATTGGTTAAATTAAAAGAAAAAAAAATTAAAAAAAAAAGAGAGAAAAAAGTACAAAAACCATTTCTAAAAAAAAGGCTAAAACGACTCATATTAGATGATTAAAAAATAAATAGTATAGCCATGACGGCTCTTTTATATATGTGTGCGTAGGATTCTAGTGGTCGAGAAGGCCGCAAGAAAAAAAAAAAATTAAGCAGGGACATATTTTAAAAAATTTATTTTAGCGGGACAATTGGAAAGAAATTTGTGAAAATAACTTTCAATATAACGATATTTTAGAATACTATTGGAAAGAAATATCTAAGTAGTATAAAATTTTTAAAAACATAATAATTGGGGTAGATAAAAGAAAAAAAGTGAAAAAGAAGGATAAGAATGAAAAATATAAAATTTTAGGAAATAAAAAAATGAAAAGGGAAAAAATCAGAAATACCACTTAAGATGGTAAAAATATTATTTATACCACATAATTTAAAAATAAATAATTATCATTCAATTAATAAGAAGAAAACTAAATAAGGCAATGACACCTAATTATTTAAAATGACATAAATAATAGGTTTTTAAAAAACTATGGGAAATCATGTATTTTCTCAAAGGAAAAAAGACAACATGGAAAGCCCAAAAAAAAAAATAAAAAGCAATAATAATAATAATAATAATAATAATAATCATGATGGCTCTTTTATATATGTAGTATAATAGCCGTCCAGAAGGCCACGAGAAAAAAAAAATAAGTAGGGTCATATTTTTATAAATTTATATTAGCGAGACGATTTGAAAGAAATTTGTGAGAATAACTTTTAATATAACAATATTTTTTAGCACTATTGAAAAAAATATCTAAGTAGGATAATATTTGGAAAATAAATTAATTAGAGTAAATAAAAGAAAAAATAAAAAAGAAGGGTAAGAACGAAAAATATAAAATTTTGGAGAAAAAAAAAAGAAAATAGAACATGAAAAGAAAAAAAAATCATAAAAAAGGCCTTCAAAATAAATGGTCTACTTCATCATTTTTTTTAAGATATAGTTCAAAATAAATGGTCTACTTCATCATTTTTTTTAAGATATAGTTCAAAATAAATGGTCTACTTCATCATTTTTTTTTTTTTTCACCTACGACATTAATGCTAAAGCCTTTGAAAAAATAATCCCTCATTTCCCCCCTCGCGGCCGGGCCTTCCTCCTGTTCTTCTTTTTCTTCCATGGACGATCCTTCTCCGTCTTCTTCTTCCCCTTCACAATCCCTAGAATCCTTCCTTCACCTTCAATCCAGTGCTTGCGTTCCCACCGAAGTCCCCAACAATGCCGTCAACGAGGGCAACGCCGCCGCTGCCGCCGCAATTTCCGACATTTCCGATCCCATCGTCGGAAATCCTCCCCCATTCGCGGTACCCACCGAGGAAAACCCAGATATTCCCGTCAAGAAGGGCAAGAAAAAGACGAGAAAGAGGGTCCTGAAGGAGAGTTCCGCAACCGCGTCGTCGTCTTCACCCTCTTCGTCTTCTCCGTCCTTGGGCCCGTATCAGAGAGGCGCGCGCGTGGCGTGCAAACGCCGAAGCGCTCGCGTCTCGTTCGGGCCGGCGCGTAGAAACCCCGTTGCTGATTCGATCTCGTTTCGTTTGGGGATGTCAATCGCAGCTTTTGTTGCTCAGGTTTTTTAAATTTTTCTTTTTTTTCTTCAGTTTTGAGTTTTTATTTTAACAATTAGGGTTTTTTTTTCTCGAACAATTGCTTTGTTTTGGGTTAACTCTTAATTTTGTTTATTGTGGTGAGGAAAAGTTTCGATTTTTGAAGGTATTTTAGCTTAAATTTGATTATTTTATACTGGTATATCTACTTTATCCGATAGTATCTGATTCTCTGAATTGGGATGATAAAACATTTTTTTTAGAGCATTATTAATGTATTTATTTACTGTGGTAAGGAAAAGTTTCGATCTCTTAGGATATTTCAGCTTAAAATTTTTTATATTATACCTGTATATCTGATTTCCATTATTGAATTTTTTATTCTTTTAAATGGGATGACAAAATTTTTTTCTTAAGAGCATTTTGTTTTTCCTTATTCAATTACCTACACTTGAAGTTAATGGCTGATAATTTTGTATTTGAACTGATTTTTTGAGTTGTTTAAATTGAAACAACAATGTAAGTTGATACAATTGGGGACTTAATTGTTATTATGGAATTCATTTCTGTTGGGTTCCTAATGTGATATGCATTATTTCTAAAATTTAGTAGGGATTCGAGTTAGTATTCAGATTGACTGGTGGTTAATGTCTAATACAGTGATTTGCTGCAATATTAGTTATAAAATTTGTTTCTGATTTACAGACTTACTTGTTCTTCTTCTTTCATGCGAGGTATAGATTGATGTGGAACTTGTTTAACTTTAAACTGGTCTGTTTGTTGTGCTTTTGGAGCAATTATGGCTTACAATTGAACTTAGTTGTTTGAAAAGTATGTATCATGGCTTTCTCTTCAGCAATAAGCATGCTCGCTTAACTGGATGTTGTTTTTTAATTTTTTATTGGTTTTAGCAAATGGTGAATTATGGCTCATTTTAGTACAGCATTAGATGCATCTAATGCTTGCTTCAGGAAAGTTGAAACTGTTGGCCTTATTTCGGGATTTTATCAGGAAGTCATTTTCTTTCCAAGTTTGGAGAAACAGTTTTAAGCTCAACTGATGCAAGGTTCAAAATGGTAGTCTTATATCGACATGGTGTTTGTTTTATTTGTTTACTTATTTTTATGAAGATTTTATTCTGTCAGCCATATTTCGATGAAGCTCGATTTCACCTTGTGTGTTTGATTTCCAAATTATTGGACATTTAAGAGGTGATTTGGTTGTTGACATCCTTTTGGAAGTCTTGTGTTACACTGTTATGGTAGGATATATGGTGCTAGTTTTACTTGATTGTCAAGAAATGATATTGGATTCGAAGTTGTGTGCTCTGATGCCTCTGATGGTGTATTGTTATCTGCTTAAAGTTTCTAGAAACTAACTTCCATGCTTGTATGCACCTTTTGAAATTCTCGTTAATGTATGGTTTGTTGTACTTTTCAATTTTAGATTCTGGAGAACAAAGATGCGTTGGGTGAAAGGATGTCTGCTGATCATCTTGCCCTGGTATTATTCATTCCCTGTATAACCCTATGCTAATAATAGTTTTACTTACCTTTGCCGAATGGTTTTCTATAGTTGTTGACCATTATTCTTCTTTGTCTTTACACAAGCTCTTTTATTTTACAATGTCAAAACATGATTTAATCATTAAATGGTCCCTTATGACTCGCAAGATAACGAGTTCAAATGGTTAAATGCAGCCACTTCTTTTGGCTATGAGCTGTACTTCAATTGGAGTGATGAACTAATTGTCACATCAAGAGGTTATGCCTACCTCTAGCTGTGGGGATCATTAGTTTATATTTGTGGAGTATGGAACAGGGGGCATCAACTAATACGTATTTTATTGTCCGGATTTGTGCAGATATGTGCTTCAGCTGTTAGAGAATCTTTAGTCAATGTAAGCCTGGACCTTAACTGCCGAGTCATCCAATGACTGGGATTTTACAAGTAAAGTTTCTTCTTTTAGTTGCTAGCGTTGTGACACAAGTCTGAGATGCTAAGTTTCTACTTCTGGATTACCTATGTGACAACAGGATTTCGGGGACACGTTTGATAGTTTCGTGAGCAACTTTGAAAAATCTTTCAGGAGCACTTTTAGGACTCTTAAGTTGATCCAGGAATCAACCATAATCAAGAGAGATAACTGCCTAAATCACCTGAACCTAAAACAGTCTATTTCGGGCGTGGCTCATGATTTTGGAGACTGTGTATACAGAGGTAGTGCAAGCAGCTCTGGCATAGAAAGTTGTCATTCAGAAGAGCTCTTCCGCCCTAATGCAACTGAGGATCAAATAAGTCATAGTGCAGCAGTGGAACAGAGTGAGGTAACAGATTCTGCCAGTCTGGAGCTTGCGCTGCATGGACAAAGAAACGAACTGGCATTTGTCTCTCGAAGCCCATTTGAATCTGTAAATAACCGGCCCATGCTTAGCACTATGGAGAAGTCCGTGATAGAGCAAACCCGCTCTAATGACCTTAAGATAGTGGAGCTTGGTATTGCGATGAAAAATCTGAAGTTGAAAGAGACACAATTGGCTCTCAACTTTGATTCAAACAATTTGGGGAGATCAAAATTAGCAATGGGTGCATCAAAGGCATCCTTTAAAGCTGAAAAGTTCAAGACTCAATTAGAAGATGCGAGATATGCAGAGCTTCGCAAGAGGTGCATAGACTGTCTTGTTGCTGGTTTATTTCTCATGGCAGCGTCCCTCTTATATGGTGCTTATGTTTTCTCACACCAAAAAATTACTGAAGTGACAGCATCCTGTACGCCTTCATCAAAGGCAAGTTTTCTCATCCTTCGGCCCGCTACAAATTCAGTTTCTTATTGCTAATAATATAGATTATTACAGTATTATGGCTATGGCTGTTATAATTAGGCATCTAAATTCTCTCAGTTCTCTAATTATATTTGCTTTACTTCCAAATTATTACCAGCTTTCTGAAAATACTCTTTTCAAGTTTTGGATGTATGATGTTTGTTTGATGGCTATATATATCTTTCTCAAATTGAATGCTTTACCTGCACCTCAGGAATCCAAGTCTTGGTGGATCCCGAAACCCATGGCTTCAATCAATTCAGGGATAGAGATACTCAGTTGTCAGTTCCAAGTTTTGATCAGAAGGCTGTTCGGTTTCGTAATGATTCTGTCAATTGCTTATTTAATCATCCAGCGGTCATCATCTTCGAGAGAGACAATGCCAATTACTTTTATAGTTTTGTTTTTGGCATTGTTCTGTGGTCTCGCTGGCAAGGTTTGCGTGAATACATGGGGAGGGAGCGGATACGTTTGGCTTCTATATTGGGAGACCCTCTGCTTGCTTCATTTGATCTGCAATGTCTGGACATCAGTATCATTCTTGATACTACATGGACCACTGACTGTCTCTCCAGGAATGAAACACGATGCAAGATTTCCATATTGGATCCGCAGAGTCATGTTTTATGGGATTCTGTTCTTCTTTCTGCCATTGCTTTGCGGTCTTCATCCTTTCGCGAGCCTTGGTGAATGGAAAGACCATTTTCTGTCACGCCTCTTCGATTATCTGTCTGTTATGGAGGATTGAAGTTATGTTCAGGTTGCTGAAAAGGGCAGGAGCTTCTACATATTTTCTATTGAGGTAATTCTTTGACTATTTGCATAATTTAGTTTTGTAACCTATGTCAAGCTTTGTATCTGTTGTATCAAATTAGAATAACTCTGCCAGCAATAGTTGGGTGTTTTATTTTTATTTATGTAATGTTATTGATAACTTGTGAGCTAGAAAGGCGAGGGCTTTTGTATTTTTATGAGGTCATCTGTGTTGTAACTTCTATGTATTGTCAAGCGTTTGTATCTAAGCAAATACATGCTTATTGTCTCGGATTTCGCTTCTACATAATAACCACACGAAATTACACCTTTGGTTTTTGCTTTTTGCATTTGTGAGATATCATGCTTGCTAATTGTAGGAGGGAAATTTTGGAGGGTTAAAGAAACGATAGACATATATATACAATCAATCAAGATTCTACACTCATCTTTGCCTCTGATTTACATAGCTCTCTCTCTCTCTCTCCTGACAGGTTACCCTTCATAGGCTTTCTATGGCTTCCTTTTTTTCATCAATTACTCGGATATATTGCAATAAGTAATCTGAGTAGTACTTCCAGCTAAAAAAAAAGTAACCCGAGTAGTACAAAGTAACCTTTTTAGTTCTACGTAAGTAACCCTACCGCGTAAAATAGTAACCACAGCTTGAATACCATATCAGACTGATTCTCGACTTTGTCTAGTTGTCTCCTTCGTCAATTGGCACCTTACCATACCTTGAATTACATATTTTACACATAAAATAAAATAAAATAAAATAAAAATGTGTAGATGGTGAAAATCCGCAACCTCGGAGGAACCGAGTTTCGGAAGTGAAACCTGATTAAAATGGATCAAAACAACAAAAACATAAAATGGGAAGAACGCCAACGTTAGTTATTGGTTGTTTATTGAATACTTGAACTGCCCTTACAATCTCTCAGTACTCAAAATAGAAGGCTTATTGAATTTATAGGATTACATACTTGAACTGTCCTTACAATCTCTCAGCACTCAAAATAGAAGGCGGGTTGCTTGCGAACGAGCGAGCGATCGATGATGAGGTTGCTCTAGAGCAAAACCAAAACCGAACAGCAACCATTGATCGACGGCAAGCAACCATTGCTCGACGGCAAGCAACCCATGGTAAGGTTACTCGTTCGACCAACCCGTGGGGTACCTGCTCTCGCGACAGTTTATACTGAACCTTGCAATTTCAGAGCTGGTCTCCTGACCGTTCCCTGGGAGAAAACCTACAGAATTACATATTTTGTACGTTTTCTATAGTAGGAAATAGGCCAATATGAAAAGCATAAGAAGAATATAAGTCAAATTTTAGTTATAGAAATTAATAAGCCATAACTTGTCAAGTTATGATTCATAATCAGATAAGTTATGTACAAACTTGTCAAGTTATAATTTATAACCAGACAAGTTATTGACAAAATTCAGGAATAACTTGTCAAGTTATGGCTCATAACTATATAAGTTATGGACAAAAACAGTAATTTAACATATTTATTAACTTATGTAAACTATTGACTTATTAATTTTAATTCATCTCAAGTCTTGACCTATTTCTTTCTTTCTCCCTAGTTTTGATTGGAGTTCCATCACAAATATTAAACCGACTAATAGCATATTATCAATACTTTTGGCTAGATGCTTCTTTTTCCCCACAAGAATATAATGGAACTTCAAGCAGAAATTTTATTGGAAAACCTAGCCAGAAAAGGTGGCATCTTTCTTCAAACAATTATTTTTGTTGTTCGTATCTCATTTTCTCGTTTCGTTCGTCTTATTTTTTCGTAATCCATAAACAATACTAACTTTGACGTTCTTAACCAACATGAATATAACTGCAAGGAAATAGAGAAAGTGGTATCCTTCTGATATTGCTTCATACAAAATGAATGTCCAGTTCTAGCAGGGGCTAAAAGAGACTGGGAAGAACTTGGGCCACGAAAACTGCTACTCAAGTTCAACAAGTCACTCAAAACAAAATTTAAAAAAAAAAAAAAAGAGGGCCTCAGAGAACGTATCTTACAGTTCCCCTAATAGTAAAAACACTTGTTTCCTTTTCAACTAAAAACTCTCAGCTACAAGTTTACAATTGGCCTGGAGACGTCAAAAAGAGTGATGAATTAGAGCTGGGTTGAGGCACCAGGGGCTGCCTCCCAAACTTCAATCTCCGAAATTCTTAGTAAATTGGCAGCCATAAAAGGCTCCCATGCTCATGAACCTTGATGCAACCAATCACAGAATCTCATGAGCCTTTCCATAGTATCTGTTGATGAATGGAGCCTGCAAAGCCACAAAACAAACGATGGCAAGAATTAAAGTGCAAAGACAAGTCACAAAAGCACGCTGCACGCATTTGTCTTCTTGTGCTTCGTTCAATGGCACAGCGTTTCAGCACAATAAAAAGAAACACCAAGTTGTACTATCGTTGATTAGAGAACAGGGCATCAGACTAGAATCCTTCCATTTGCTAAATAAGATACCGAGTTAGCCAAAATATATTAGATAGAAATTCTGCTCAAACTAGTAAATCATTGTACAGATTCGGACTTTAGAGTGAGAAATTGACTGAACTATTTAAAGCAATCAAAAATCAATAATCAGAGACATTATCACCTTAACATTTGATATGTCAGGAGTATCAGGTGTTTCCACAGGGTAGAACTTGTAGAACTTCATATTCTCAAATGCTGCTTTAGTTTCTTCACTCATTTCTTCAAGTGCTTTTTTCCGAGCTTCCCTTGCCTATAAGAAAGGAAACTTATATCAGTTACAAATAACGAGATTTAATCACATTAAAATGGCACTGAGAAGGCATAACATCCAATTTTTAGTTTAACCATATAATAGCAATAATACCCAATAAGAACCAATAATATCTACCATAAATAGATCTAGCCTTAAAGTAGCAGTTCTGCTTATCATATATATACATAGTTATAAAAGAAAGATACCTGTCTATTTGCTTTCTTTGCTTCTCGAACTTTCTCCTTGACAAATTCCTGAGAAAAGGAAAAAGAGGTTACAAAATGCAAATAATAATTTCATAAAAAGAACAATAGAGAACCGAGTTAAGCGCATCTCGCATCTTGTATTAAATTTTACCTTGAAAGCATCCTTTTGATCTTCGGACAGTTCCTCCTCTTGGATCAGTTTATCTGTGAACTCCTACAGATCAATAGACAAACTAATTAAGAAAAAGCTCCTTTTTTGGGCAATCGCCATGTTGGACTATGGAGTTGCGCATAATTGAAACTTGGTGAAGTTCCAATTACAAGATTGTGGGTCATTATAATTTTTCAACTCAGATGATTAAGCACAAAGTCAAAGACTTGATTTTGTACCTCTAGTTCGTCCAACTCCCAATCAAATTCACAGAACACCTACGGGAACAAAAGCAATTTCAGACAAAACTCAACAGTATACACAACCAAAATCACTCAGCTCCAAATGAGCATATAAGAAAGCACGGATCACAGAATTACAAATGTATTGTTGTGCAATCATACAATCACCTTTTCAATTGCAAATTTTTTTACTTTCTTTAGATTTAACTTGGCTGTAGTAAAATTGTAAGAGAGAAAACTGAATTGCAGGAACTGAGGTCGGGAAGAGTCCTATCAAGCATTTCAAAAAGTCATCTTTTGGTGCTAGAAGTTGAGATTTATTTGCAAAACAAAAAGACAGCTCCTATGCTTATCTTTGAGATAGATATTAACATTCATGCCACTTCATTGCTGAGTGCCTAACCCTAGAACGTCTACGTTATCTAATTTCCACTTATTTTTTGGATATGTGGATAATGTCACCTTTAAAGCTAAGCTCATTACTTATCGCCTGGTTAATTTTCCTCTCTGAAGAGGTCTTCTATATAGTTCTGGCTACCCAAACCTAATTCAACTTACCGGCTTTGGTTCTGCAGGAAATATTATTTGAACCTCAGTGCTCTGCTCAATCTCATCTTCCTTCAATGGTTGGTAGAAATCTGTCAGCAGAAGACATTTCAAAACCTATATTGAGTTTAAGATTCCTACAAGCAATTGTACACTGCTACAAAGTTCATGTGAACATCTCAAAAAAGTTTGAAAACTTACAAGGCAGGCAGTACTCAAATTTCTTTAAACGGTCTATCTTCAAGTGTTTCAAAGCAGCCCTGTATTAAGAGTTTGCTCACATCAATAACCATACAAAGAATTCAGGTTAACAAGTCAGTAGAAACTTTTTTTCCTATTCAGATGTGTAAGCTGAACATGCATACAGGTGTATTCATGACTACACGTGATGTACATACTAGTAATTGCACAATAAGCTTGGACGTATGATGTGATATGTTCGAAGAAAATGTGTGTGCCAAACATCTCAACAAATTCAGTGCAGGCACAGTCCTAAAAACATTATCCCAAGAGCTGGAAAGTCAACTGCTTAGCAGACATTTTTTTTGTGAACTGGAGGGTTGGTGATTATTTTAAGCACTCAAACGAATGCAAAAGCATTAGTAATTCAGGAGAGTCATAAAGGCCACGGAAATAATCCCAACACTCGCAATTATCAAAACAAAATGGTAGATAATAACCAAAAAGGAAGGATTCAAGGATAGAGTCTAAAGTTACTAAAAGTTTTCTGCTGAAAGAGACCCATGAATCTAAAGAAATGGATAACAATCGGTAAGACCTATTAGCAAAAACAGTGCTCCATACAGATTTGGAAGTAATAATCACAAACTCATAAATTCGAGAAAATTTACAATGGTACTAGTAGAAAAGCCAAAATCTAAGCGTATAGTGATTGAACAAGGATAATAAAATTACTACATTCGTGTAAGCATAAACAACAAATGCAGATGGGGTGGAGTGAGAGAAACAGCACCTTCTTTGAGTACAGCTCAAGATAAATATTTGAGACTTTAGTTTATCAACTTGACTTTCTCTGTGGAAAATTGAAAAACACAATGACGTCAAGAATCCATAGGAACTTCTGGAACATCCAAAGATTAAAGTTCTATTAGATTAGTCCAAAAGCACCAATACTATAATGTACCTATTTTCAAGAGGAATGTATGGTACCCAGTCCATTTTCATTTGTTTCATTGGAATAATTTCTTCAGCCTCTCTCTGAACTGAGTTAATCCCAATTTTATCAGAGGGTGGAAAAGGTGATACAACCTAACATAACAAGAGCAAAATGCAAATAGAGAGAAATTTAGAAAACTTGCAGTGAAAGGGAGAAAAATTAAATGTTTTCAACCATGGGTAAAAGGCACTAAGTTCTTGAACTCCTCAAGGTTCACATCAGAAACGAACCAATTCTTGCAAGTAAAGCATTAATCATACATTCATGTGCACAAAAATACATATAGATGCGCAATAAATTTTCAGCTGCACAACAATGCAATTGCACTGACATGACGCGATTCAAAAAGTCAGCCATTATAAATTTATGGCGAATATTAAGAGCTTTAATTTTGTAGGAAAAAATAAATAGAAACTCTAGAAAGAAATAAATCCAGGTATAGCAACTAAACCAGCTAAAATATAATAGTGATTCGTGAGATTCTGAATAAAAATGCAGAAGTAAAAGTACTTTAAATCACTTACAGCCACCACTACAGGTATGCAGACAATTTTGTTCACCCCCTTGACAGAGACCAATTGAGCTGCAAGTAACCAAAAATAAAATAGATAAAACCTAAGTATGTAAGCAGTGGAAATTATAATGGATTATGGAAGAAAAAGAAATTCAAGTTTGTAAGCTGCTTACGCTCAGTGCAACCAAAGAGAAAAACTTTCTTCCCATATAGCTTCCCACCCTCCTCAAAAGCATTCTGAAAACAACAAAAACATATTTTTTTTAGCACTGAACATACTTCAAGTTCTTTAGAACTATACCATATCAGTATTAGCCATTAGGCAGAGGAATAAACCGGCGAAACCCTAAGAAAACATATTCCAGCTCACCTCCAGATTTGAAAAGTCCCACTTAAACTGGTAAAGCACGTCCAATTGATCCCACTGGCATTCAGAAAACCGTAATATTAGAGCGATAAAGAAGCAATGTCATTAACAAAAAGGGTAATAAATTCAAAGTTCAACGAACCTCCGTTCCCACAGGGAATGCAGCCTTCCATAGATCCTCCTACACCAACATATATTGAACATTTGGTTAGTAAAACAAGAACATGTTAATAATCATAGGAGAAAAATCTTACATTTTCTTATAATCCTCTTCAATAAAAATGCAACATCCCTACTAGAACAACAATTCCAGCTCAATGGTGTGCTACTTTTCTCGCGAAAATCAAATCTTCCAAAAACCAAATTTGCCAACACAAGATTCAGAGCTCAACAACACACTCGCAATCATAACGCAATAGCGTGACCATTTCGTGTACATAATCTTCCGCCATAAACAAAAAATGACGGCAAAACAACAATTTTTCAGTTCAACGCGACTACTTTTTCTCGTCTCACGCATATCTCAACCGTTAGCTCAACAACCAAAGAGAAACTAGCACATTTCGAATACGAGAACTCAGAAATTCCAAACACTCCATCGCCAACAAAAACAACCTAAAAATCCGTCAAAAGAACTGCAAAATCAAATGCGAAAAGGAATTAACAACGCAAATCTCCTTTACCAAATTGCGTTTATCCTCGAAATATTCTGGATCGGATTGAGGCTTAGAGGCCTTGACTCTCTTAGCGCGAGTGGTCGTCTTCTTCGACTCCTTGGCAGGACTCGATTCCTCCTTGTTCTCCTTCCTCTTAGCGACTTTCCTCCTCATTGTTTATCTTCTTCTATCGACGTGTGTTCCGCAAAGCTCCTGAAGAGAGAGAAAGAGAGAGAAGTAGGGTTTGGAGCGCAAAGCCGTGATGGATCCGAATTCGAATTTAGGAGAGAGAGAGAGAGAGAGATGGGAGCCGATTTATATATGGGTAGGTGAAAGTGGGGCGTAAAATCAACGCGAGCGAGCAAGAGAGAGAGAGAGAGGAGGAGAGAGAGAGAGAGAGGTTCTAGAGGCGCGGAGACTTGTAGGGTTGAGACTGGATCCAAATATTTCAAAATTTTTAATTATCAGAAAAAAGGAAGCCAACAAATATCAATTAATAAATAAATAATTTGTTTTTTTTTTTGAAGAAAAAGGAAACAAACACGTAGCGTGTACAATGGCGGCCGAAGTGGTGCTGAATGGGGAAAGAAATGGTGGAACTATAAAGGGGGTATGATTTTGGACCTTTAGTGGGGTTACTAAGGCCCGTTTACGAGATATATTTGAATTTATGGTTTTAATTTTATTATAGTGAATTTAAATTTAAAATTTTCTCTCACAAAATTTTTACTAATAAATCAGACTCACTAACTTGAATGCGTGAACTAATTGGACTCTCATGTATCAGGATCCCCATGTATGGTTTAATTAGGGGTGACAATTCGTGTCACGTGTCATGTTTTGATCATTTTTTTAAATTTACAGTCAACCCGAACACGACCCGTAACATGAGATTTTTTAAAAACCGCAACACGACATGACCCGAAAATGACCCGTGACACGAAATTGACCCGTGAATCCGAAATTGACACGAAAATTGTATACTTTTATTTAATTTTTTACATATTATAAATAACTTAAAATTCATAACACACTAAATTACAATAACATCCATTAAAATTAAGCAAATAATAGTATAAGATTTTGAGTATAACTATCATGATATCACAAGTTCATAATAAAATTTAAAATATGAAATGAAAAATATATGTATTTTTTAGTTTTTTACGAGTTTCGTGTCGTGTTCGGCTTAGGCGGGTCCAACCCGAATTGACCCGTGTTTTTCGTGTCAATTTCAAGTCGACCCGATTCTGACCCGAACATCTTTTTTCTCAACTCTAACCCGCAAAATTCGTGTCGTTTTTTAGTCGAATTGTCGTGTCGTGACCCATATTGTCGGCCCTAGGTTTAACCATTACAATTGAGAAATCTTGACAAATATCCTTAAAAATACATGGATCTTAATCTTTTTCATTTTTTATTGTTGATTAATATCTTTTTTTAGTCAAATAATTATATTAATAAGTGATATTAATCAAGAGTAAATAGTAAAAATTCAGACACATATACTTTTAAGGATAAGTTCAATAATTTTCTTATTACAATTCAAATCAGGTCTAGATCTAAATTCTATGGCATGTTTGATTCACGCATTCAACTCTCAGTGATTTTGATTCTACTTTATTTTTACTTTGCGATTGAAAACCATTTCTTTCCTATTGAATTGAAAACCATTTTTTTTTCTTTTTCAATAGAAAAGGAAAAGAAAGTTTTTAGATATTCTTGAATTCAAATTTTGTATGAGAACCTATTGGCGAAAACTTTTTTTATTCAAATTTTTTGTGAGTCATGGGTTGAAATTCTAGAACCAAACAGTAATGTTTGACATAGCCAACAATTCACTACAAGAATCTTACATATTAGCTACCATAACTTCAGCGGTGAAAAAAATAGCACCTACGAAGCAAAATAGTGGCGTACATTTTCGCCCTTAACCGCATTCAAAGGTGGTCAAAAGCATCTAAAGAAAGCCCAGCCCTCTTTGTCTGTTAAGGCAAAAAATTTCATCCCTGTTAGGAGGTTCAAAAAATTTCTGTTGCGGCGATTTTTTCACCGTTACATGTGCATTGTTTGTTTCTTTTTGCCAAAAAAAAAAAAAAAAAAAAAAACATTTGAAATACGCGCATTTATTTAAGTGAAAAATGAAAATATTTAGCAGTAAATTAACCGTTTTTATTTCGTTTTAATCAAATAGCGTTTGAAATATGCGCATTTATTTTGATAAAAAGGAATTTTTATAGTGGTGAATATTTTCACCGCTATAGAGTTTTTTATTAATTTTTTCCCCTCATAATTCATATTCAGAGATTAAAAGGAAACAAAAAATTAATAAAAACCCTGTAGCGGCGATAAATTTCACCGCTATAGGTTATTCAGAGTCAGCGGCCAGATTTTGCCTGTGAGCTTCTTCTTCTCCATTTTCTCCAAAAACTTCATCTCTCTAAAAATCTCCCCTTCTCTCTCTAAGTCTAGAATAGAAGCTGCCCTGTTTCCCCTTTTTTCTTAAAATCTAAGCCCTAATCTTGATTAAACACTTTCAAAATCTCCAAATCTTCATCTATGTCTCATTCTTCCACAATCTTCTTTGTTCCATTCCTCTTCTCATCATCCCAAAGCTTCGTCAAAGTATCGCCGGAAGGCGTCGCCGAGCCATCAGAGTCAGTCGTTGTCTCTTTGCTTTTCGTCCTTCCTTGCTGCCATTTCCAAGTAAGTTTCATGTTTATGAAACTTACTACTTAGTTGTAGTTTGTTGAATTTATGGTGTGTTTGTAATTTGGGGTTTTGGTTGTAATAGTTTCATATTCTTATTACCTATCTGACTAAAAACAAAGAAAAAGCATACAAAATAGTTCGAAATAGAGAGCAATTGGGTGATTATGTGGGGGACAGGGGACCAAATCAAATGCGGCACATAGAGCAAAACACTCAAATATAAGCCCTATTGAGTTTTATAAGATGATGCATTTTGATGAAAAGAATGGTTGTAGTGATTTTTTGGTGGAGCAACATTATGTTAGTATAACCAAGTAATTTATACTTTCATTCATTACATATGAATTCAATTTACAAGTGTTTTAATCCTTAACAAATTTATTTGAAGGAGGAGATGGTTCGAATTCGCGCAGCACAACAAGAAATTGAGGAGCAAAAAGAAGAAGGAACATTTCCGCCACGCAACAATCGCCTTTTAGATTAAGAAATTGTGGATCAAGTTCGTAAATCTAGATCAAAATATATAAAGAGCTTGGAAATAAGATTGTTGATTCGAAGAGATCTCTCCCTGGTTGTTCTTCCTCTTCCTCTTCTCAACGTCCGGAGTATGAAGAGTTATCTCAGCGATTCAATGACTATAAACAATCTTAAAAGGCACACAATCTCCAGACCCAACAAATAATTTATCATTTTACTAAATTGATGGGGTCTCAATTTCCTCACCTATTCCCACAATATGGGTCGCCCCTGCCCTCATTGCCACCACAATGAACAAGTTTGGTTTTCTTTACTACTCTTTAGTGTTTACTTTGCCCTTAGTTTTAAATTATAACTTATCTTTTTATTGGACTTGATGTTCTATGACAACTTAAAGAATATTTCTTTACACTTAGTTTTAAATTAGAACTTATCTTTTCATTGTACTTGATGTTCTTAGTGAAGACGTATTAATTATTTATAATGACAACTTAGATCTCTTCTTTTTATTGTAATAGTTTGCTATTTAATGTCAATTTGTTGTAATGATATATATATATATATATTTATGCAAATATTTAAATTAAATTAGTTATATTATTAATTATATGCTTGTTGTTATGAAGCACAATTATTATCAATTATATGCTTACTGGGATTAGGCATTTACAAATTAACAAATCAAAACGATAGAAAATATTTTTATAAAAAAAAGGAACAGTACCGGCAAATAAAAGCACCGCTAAAATATTTACTGCTAACGTCAAAATGAAAATAATTTTTTTATAAATTAACACTAGCGGCGAATAATCCGGCAAAAGAAATTTTAATAATAAATATATTGTGGCGAAAAGTTTCGCTGCTACAATTTAAAATTCATCACTATAAGGCTATAGTAACCAGATTATAGCAGCTATTTAGTGAGAATAATTTTACCGCTATAGATAAATAGCAGCGCATAGCTTTTTGTAGTAGCGATTTTTTTCGCAGCTAATGCTCTTTTTTCTAGTAGTGATTTAAACCATTTATAAATGAGATCTAAATTTTAAACCTAAAATTCGGAATTCATCCCCTCTAAATTTCAACAACAATTTAATCCTACACGCTATAGTGAAAATAGTTGCATTTTTTTTCCTCTTTTCTACTTCAAGGTTTAAATTGTCATTAATTTTTTCATTTCTTTGATTGAGATAACCATTCTTACAATATCTTCATAATAAAGAGATGGACCATATCTTGTCCCATGTCAATTCTAATAAAGAAAAATATTTTTTGAGTTTGAAATACTTTCAAGTTTCAACTAAAATGGGTTTTAGATCATAATAAAAGTTATAAGCACATAAGCTATGTAGAAAAATTTCCTATGTACTTTCAAGAGAGTGAATAGTTTTTTTTTTTTTTTTAAAGAGGAGATTTTACAAATTCCACTTAAACTATGTTAGTTATATTAATATGTCTCCAAATTTTAAAACGTACGTGTTTAATATGTCTCCGAATTTTAAAAAGTGCATGTTTTGTCTTTTAATCAACAAGGCATTTCAAATTTCACCCTCTCTGTCTACACTTATCTAATTTAATTTTTTTTATGCAAATGCATGTTCGACGCACATGAAGACAACAAATTTATCAAATTGCTTAAATCTTTAAGGTTCTATTTATTTCACCGATTCGAGTTTTGCTACAGTAAAAAGCTCTCAGAAACAATCACATCTAACTTTTTTGCTACAGTAAAAGCTCTCATATAAAGTCACATCTCAACTCGAATTAAAAATTCGAATCAAAGAACTAAACGGGCCCTAAGTAACCCAATTGAAGTAAGGTTTGTGCTCGCAATTAAAGCAGAAACATTAGTGTGTTTGGTTAGTGGATTCGTGCTGTGATTCGGATCATGGTTCGTAGCTCGCTACAGTAGTTTCTCTCACAAAAAATACATGTAAATTGAGAATGATTCTGAATCATGATTCGGAATCCATCAACCAAACATTCACTACCTCTGCGTGTGCACCTCACGGCGCTATCGGTTATCTTTCTTGCGCTTAAGTGCGTGCTTGTCGCAGGAGAACCCCAAAATGGGTGATGTGGACCTTGCTCACACCAGGCTCAATTGCAAGATGGAGAGTAAAATAAAGAGAGTAAACTTTAGTTTGAGTTTTTTTTTTTTTTAATTTATCTATACTAAGAGTATAGTTAGAAAGGAAAGCATTTATCAACCCTTAAATATTATGATTTGCTTTAAATC